TATATATATATATATATAACACCGGCTTGTAGAAAAGCATGGTGCCAACGCTACAACAATAATAATAATAACAATAATAGGTGCAGGTGAATTGGGATACAGAACAAAGTGGTACGATTGAGGGAGCAACAGGTTGTGTGCGGTGTTCGCTTTTGTTTGCAGAAGAATAATAGGTGAATAGTTCAGTTCACACTCTATTAGGCAGATCCAACGTAAGGAGTCTTCTAACGCAACACAAAGAAATTTATCGGAATTTCGAGCGGGACGGGGAGCTGGATAGCGACACGATCGAGCCACGGGGAGAATCAGAGCGTGATCGACAGAAAGGGCATTTTGAGCATTCAGGGAAATTGAGCAATAGATCATGGTCTGATCAAAAAGCGTGAATTTAGACAAAGTTCTCGAAAAGACTATCAAGAACTGAGCCAGTGTAGAGTTCAGATGCTCACATTGCTGACGCACCACTTGGAGTTCACAACCTTCAAGGCCACGATAGATCCATGTCTATCGCATCGTTGTAAACCAGGTTGTCTAGAACATTGCCAATCGTACTGGAGCGCTCTCCGCGAATACGATAACGAGTTAGTTCGCACTAAGCTATCCATGTGGTTCAGCGCTATTTCCAAGCCCTTAAGACAGCAACGATGAGACTATGATAAATTGTGGCCATCAGCTCACATGATCTTTCAAACTTCCAAAGCTTGAGGTGATCTCATCAGTTGGTATTGGTCGCTTATCAAGATTGTTTTGCCTTCCACCAGTCTAAGGAGTTTTAAATCTTACACGCCATGTCTTGATACTCTGGATTCCCGCTGAGCCTTTGTTCCCTCTTGATGCACGCCGTTTACTCTCAACCGGCAACGGCAACCATGATTCATGATGTGAACTCAACCGAAACCTACGCGGAGATCATGAAGTCTGGCAATATCGATACGCATTAAATATAGAATGTGCCGCCACTATAGGATATTCCCTCAAGCTACTGCTTCTCATCTGGACCATGACCATGAAATGGCTGTATGTGAACGAATCGATGTGTGAAGCTGATGGCTTGCCATTCACAACCTGTAGTGATGTCTTGCGCAATGAACAGAGCACTTTAGGGCATAGGTTAATTGGTCCTCAGCGTCAGCTTCTCTGATAGCTATTCCGGCACACATCTCGTGGCGGGTGTCGACGGACTGGTCCGCCAGGAGACAGACCCATCAAAGCACCGAGCTCCGATGACCTTGCCTACCGCTGTTCACAGATGCTGACAATAAGCTTGTTGTTACAAACATTATATATGTATAGTGAGTAAGCCTGCTTTGATCGGGGTGCCGGTGGTTGCTGGCGGTTGCTGGCGGTGAAGAAAGTGAACTGCTATAGTCCATATTTAGAGCGCAAAGTATAACTGCATGCACACACGCACACACTTCCCCAAACATTCTAATTTGATAAGAAATAACAACAAGAATGCTTCTGCTGCCGTGCCCATTACTGTCACCGACTAACTAGTCACACCGTTTTCGATCACAGTCTGGAACACCTACATAACTTTAAAGGACAGTTTCTGTTGATCTCCTCGTGATTTTGTACACCTTACATAGGCGACTGCAGGTTAGGCCCCTGCGGTTGACTACTGTTGCGCACGCGGTGTACCTCAGCCAGTGAAACCGAAGCACTTGATTTATGTTTTGAAGGAAATTTACCGCTTGGGCACTCACCAATCAATACACGACAGTTCAACTCAGTGTTGCTAATCAATTGACTCCGTCTTACTAGCGTGAAACAACGCAGTCAGCGACTGTCGAAAACCGCCTGTAGATGGATGTCTTCGGCTCACCAACTCAACCAGTGTTTCCTAAGCCTAAAGCAGTATATACTACCTTTCAACGTCATCTGATGACACGTCCGTTCAACGTCAAAAGTGTTTCAATCTGGCGTACCCTGTTACCGTCATTCTTCACGGAACTGCCAAAATCAAGGAAGGTATGAAATCGAACCCAATGCCTCACAGGATACTTCATCGATATTTTATTGTTTTATACTGATAATTCCATTTCGCCTGTTCGCCGAGCTTGGCCTGTGGTTTTGCAAACGTTCCATCACACCAGTCGAGGTGACATTATCAGTGCTTTTGAAGTGGCAGTGTTCTGTTTATACTCGTTCGTTTATATGTGTTCTTCTCTACCGACTATTTTTTCCATTGTTCTCACTGTGTTTGGCTCGGTTTGCCGTTGATCTAGTACGAGGGGGTGAGGGTGGAAGTGGAGGAGGAAGTTATCCTTTCGTCCTGATTGCGGTTTCTGTCCGTTCCGGGGTCACGGCGTGACCTTTTTTGTGACTGATATTTCTAATGGAAGAAAACACAATTTTTCCTCTTATTCATATCCTTTGGATAGTAGACGCCCCACTCAATCCGTCGATTGCTGTTCTGAATCTAATGAAGTACGTTTTATTATACTCCAAATCAACTGTTATTAACCAATGAGCGCCGAGTAAAAATGAAAGTACTCCGCGAAGAGACATAGTTTGATCGCACACTTGACCAGTGCGCATCTATTGACCCAGAATAAGTGGATACTGCTCGGGTTGAATACTGATGTGGCTGTGCTAATCCGTGAGCACAGTAGACTGTGACAGCCTATTCGCTTCAAACTGTACGTCACAGCCTGTCGGTCATCAGAGCAGCTGAAGTCTGGTGCACAATAAACGAAAGTTAAATAGTGCGAACAGAAAATACTAACATAACCCCGTTCTTATTTGTTGCTACTTTGCAATGCGATTGTTTTGAGTTTGCCGTTAAGTTAAGCTTTCAGTTTTTACAACCATTAACCACGCACTTTCATGAGCCGGTTTTGGTTGCTCTCTCTTTACTGCCCATTTCGATGAACAGTAGGAGAAAGACAGGAGGGTTGAAAGTAGAGCCGAATAGAAAATGGAGAATTTCAGTGAACTAATGTTGCAAGGAAATTGAGAAGGTGCATAAACGCCACTGTTTACGACTCGCAGCCATATCACTCAGTAACCCTAACCATTAATTATGTTGATCCCGAGGTCCCCATTCAGAGAGCCTGGAAGGACCTAGTGATTTCATACCCTCATGCCCGGTCTCAGATTGACCACCCACTACCTGCCTCGACGAACATCTCTCGCCGTGGCAACCTATTTGGTGACATCCGTAACACATACCCCAACGAACGTAATCTATGGATTTCGACCATTTGCTCCAGGCAGCAACCGCAGTTACCTAAAACTCTGCGCCTAACCTCAGCATTGCTTATCCGGCTGTCCCACCAGATTTGCGCAATACTGCGTAGACAGCGGCGTTCAAACATCGACAGTCAATCTTTATCCTGTTTTCGTAATCGTCTAATCTCCGCGCCGTAAAGCAGTACCTGCCGAACGGCTGTAGCATACACTCGACCCTTGACAGACAGCCGGATGTCGTGACGGCGCCACAGATGTCTCAAGTTGGTAAGTGCCAACCGAGCCCTCTGTATGCGAACTGACACTTCATCCGTGATGCGTCCACCGGTTGATAACTGCCCAGATAACAAAACTTATCCACTTGCTCTATTAATACCCTAGTTAGAGTGAGGCTGGGTGCTGGGCCAACCCAATCTTGCAGTAACATTTTACACTTTGAAGGTGCAAAACGCATACCGAACGTGGCTACGCTACACTCAAGTGAAGGGGATACCGTGAGGAAAAATGGTAGATAGATATATTCGTGATTCAAACGTTTCCATTTCATGTTGCCGAGATCGTTTTGTATGTTAGTTTCACTCCCCTTTAGGATTCGTTTTCGTGACTCACAATAATGAACACATGTGGATTCTGGTGCTTGTGAAGGTGCATGAATTCTGTTCTTAATTTGTCTGTTCTCATTCTATCAGTATTTTTCATGGTAAATCAGTTCATTTTCCCCTCGCACTCATTGTGAAACCTACAGGCAATTTCGACTATTTCATGCAAAAAGAGATCTACGAACAACCGGAGTCCGTTTTGAACACAATGCGTGGCCGAGTGAATTTCGACTCTAATCTGGTCATCTTGGGCGGGTTGAAACAACACATGACCGTTATCCGACGATGCAGGCGACTGATTTTCATCGGTTGTGGGACCAGTTTTCACAGTGCGATTGCAGTATGTTTTCTGTTTATGTTTTTCATCCTCCCTCCCTGCCTGCCCAGTTTTGCTTTTTATTCCAAAATGATCAAAAGTTACATTCAACGAGGTAAATCTAACAATCTAAAGAATTGCTGTGCAATATTAGATGAGAGTTTGTTGATCTTGTATCTTCTCTAAGCACAATAGGTAAAAGAACGGGGAACCATCTCAATAGAAATCGGCAACGCATTGGCTCATGTTCACTAATGCTGTTCCTGACCGTTCGTACAACCATTAACCATGTATCCATATGCACTGACCGGTTTTGAGTGCTTTCTTTTGACTACCCGATGGAATGAGAAGAGAGATTGGGAAGTTAAAATTGTAGTCTGGACTAAAATGAACGATTCCAATTGACGAAGTTTGCGAAGAAATTGAGTAGTTGCATGAGTACCGCAGTTTACGACACTCAATCTCTCTAACCACCGTTTACAATGACCCCGAGACCCCCATACAGGGAGCCTAACCGAATCTCTCAGTCAGGGTTTGTACACCCATATACCAGGTTTTTTTTTACCATTCTTGGCTTTTTTCCACCCACTGCCTTCCTCGACAAACATCACGTGACATGCTTAACACATGCCCCAACCAACGTAATCTACGGAGATCAACCACTTGCTCCACTAGGCAACCGTGATTAATTTAAACTCTGCTCCTAACCTCAGCATTGTTTGTCTGCCTAACCCACCAGATTCGTGCAATGCTGCGTAGACCGCGGTGTTCGAACACCAACAGTCTAACTTTATCCAGTTTTCGTAATCGTCTAGTCTCCGCGCCGTATAGCAGTACCTGCCGAACCGTGACAGCCTAAACTGGGTCCTTCACACAGCCTGATGCCTCGATGGCACTATAGATGTCAGGTTGGCAAATGCCAGTCGATCTTTCTGTACGTGTGATGTGTCCGCCTGGTGAGATATAGCTGTCTAAATAACAAAAGTTATCCACTTGCTCTATCACTTCTCCACTTACACTGAGGTTGGGAGCTTAACCAACGTTT